AAAATTAATTTACAATGAGTAATAATGCCAAAAAGCAAAATATACAATTATACATTGTTAAAAATTGGGGTTGGTAAGTTTTTTAAAAAATTTTTTATGCTTTTAAAAAAGAAGTCTCTTATGCTCACCAAGGCTGCCTTTAATTGATCCAAAAAAAGTAAAAACAGTAATATTATGAGACATCATTACAATTTAAAATAATCATTTTCTTTTTGAATATAATGTAATTTATTCCTGTGATAGCAAAGCTGAATTTTCATCAGATATGATTCCAGTCTTCACTGTTACACGATCCTTCAGAAATCATATAATAATATCTATCTAACATGCTGATTTGGTACATTTATTATTATTATCATCAATTCGAAAACAGCTGCTTAATATGTTCCCGGAAACCAGGGAAGTGGCTGATGATGACACTGCACACTGTTCAGAAGCTGATAGTCAATACTCTGCAGAGTGTTTCCTGTCCTCACTGATACAGTGTGTCATTGAGTCATAACACAGCACTCTCCGTGCTGCATGCAGTTGCCACAGAAATTTTTTTTTTTCTTTTCTATATTGTGCTTCAGGTACCGCAGAAAATGAAACAAATGAACAGGAAGTCAGAAAATGGGGAAATTCCAATAAGCATTAAGCACTAGTTCTTACCCAAAATGTGGTTGAGCTGGTCCAGATAATGCTTTCCAGGGAAGATGGGTCTGTTGGACAACATCTCAGCTAGGATGCAACCCACAGACCAAATATCAATAGACTTGGTGTAGCCCTGAAAGATTAAGAGAGAGAATGTCAAAACATGCATCAGGTTAACATGTTAAATGCTAACGACACAGACACATGGACATACCTTGGAGTTGAGCATGATCTCAGGAGCACGGTACCAGCGAGTAGCCACATACTCTGTGAGGAATCCGGTGTGGTCATGTTCTGGGTCGGCTATCCGTGCCAGCCCAAAGTCACAGATCTATGGGTGAGGAAATGTAATTATCCTCCATACAACTCTCCAACATGCCATTTTGCTTTAAAAAGCCCCTCATTTCTATATTTAGCTTCACTAGGATCACTGCCTTAAGATTAAACAAAGCACAAGAACTACATTACTAAATTTGGTCCTGCGTTCCTCAAAGTATGTGCACTGAAATAGATCACCTACAAAACGATTTCCATTTCACATTAGGTTTCATATTTACTTTTTAATGTCAGGTTATCTGTTTGAAGTTTCTGTCACTGTCAGTGGTTTACTAAATGCTGCTTATTATATTAAGAACTAGAGTTTTATGTTTGGAGTTTTATTCTTCAGGAAAATCTGTGTGGCTTTTCTGACCTTGAGGTCACAGGTGGTGTTGATGAGAAGGTTCGAGGGCTTCAAGTCTCTGTGCAGCACATTGGCAGAGTGAATGTACTTCAGCCCTCTCAGGATCTGGTACAGAAAGTAGCAGATATGGTCGTTGCTGAGTTGCTGTGTCTTCAGCAATTTGTAAAGGTCGGTCTCCATCAGGTCCTGTACGATGTAGCTGAAATGCAGTTAAAGAACTACAGCACAACACTGTCCAAAATCTCAAAAATACAATGGTATTTGTAGGTATCAGCCTAGTGCATTGTGTGCTTGGAGTGCATGTTTAAGGATACACATCCCTCATATAATCGATGCGACGCGCTCTCAGGATGTCATTGATGCCGATGATGTTCTCATGACGGAACCGCAGGAGGATTTTGATCTCCCTCAGGGTGCGCTGGCAGTAGGTCTGGTGTTCAAACGGACTGATCTTCTTAATGGCCACTCGGATCTTATTCACATTATCAAAAGCTGAGCTGCAGGCGGCAGGGAAAGAGATGGTGGGATAAGAGGAGGGAGTATAAAAAAAAAAATTCTCATACAAGCTTGTGCACATATTTAACTCTTATAGCATTTGGAATGATGTTCAAAAAGTGAACAGAGGTGCTTAAACTTTAGAAAAGTCCTGAACGTCAACCTAAGACTATGATAAATATTATTCATTATTATATGAGGAATGTATAAATTGTCAAAATCCCTGCTGTGTGTTTTAGCTAAAACCTTTAAATTAACTTTTTAATATATATATATATATATATATTCAAATGTTGAATATATATTATATTGGGGGGGGGGGATCAAATGTTGGTTTGCAGTTAGCAATAAACTAAATAAAATGGGTCCCAAAAAATGTAACACTTGGGTAAAACAGTTGCAACATGTTAGGCTCGGCATATGCAGTCTATAAATATTTATTAATAAATAATAGATAAACAAAATAAAATAAGATCATTCACTTGTCTTCCCACCAAGTTGTCCCAGTTTTAGGACATTATTTTATTAAATTATTTTAAAAACATACAAATGATTACTAAAATGGACATCAATTCAAATCACAAAAATAACATCAAATTTTGATAAAAATGTAAATATTTTTTGTATGCTTTTAATTGTTAGATAGGTTTAAGGAAATCTCTCAGATAGGACAGGCCAAAATCCCCATTTTACATATATTTGATGTGTTTAAAACTACTATGTGCACTGTACTTGTGGAAAATATCTAGTATCTGTTCCTTTATATATTTTTCTCACTATGCCGCTGTCTGATAGCCCTACCCAAAGATATCCATAGAAGGCCTTTGTGTAGTATTACAGGGAGTTTGTTTACATCCTCCAGCAAAACTCGACAGTCATTTTGAGGATGGAGGACAGACCAACGCGCACAGCTATGAATTCTGCATCGTATATATTTCACCATCGTTTAACCAAAACTCATCAGCAGTTGAGTTGACATCTCAAAAACGGTGTGAACTTATTTCTAGAAAAACCGCAAGAAATGTTTGCTAAGCCACTTCATCCACATTTGGCCGCATCGTAACCACGCCTGTTTGACGAGCTCAGAGTGAGATGTCAGATTGCTAGCGGTGGAGCCAACAGCACTGCACTAGCATGCAGTTTCACACTACAAACAACAAAACACACTCCCAAAATCACAAATGACAAGTCACATTCAACATTTAAACTCATCGAGTGTTCTCAATAACATGTATTCACGTGCAGCGAGACAGAGCAATTTTGAACGTTCCTAACAGTTACATGATGCCAAAAAACACTGTTTATGTAGGCAGCTCGCTATGCGTTCCAACACAACCAGTGCTGAAGAAATGGGATTTAATCCAATGCCTTACTCGCAATCTATTGTTAGCCCTGAGATTCTAGGGAGGATATGCAAGGAAACTTGTTGAGCGGAGAAAATGATTCTGTTGCTTTTGAAACGCCGTGTATATTTTATTTTCTGTCTATGAAAAGGGAATGCGGAATGGCACAGGCTTTCAGAGAATCAACACCCTTTTTCTTTACTACGAAGAGCTGATCAGTAACGTGACCAGCCCATCAATTCTCGCCCCGATCCAACAAAAACGAACAGAAAAAACGAGCAGTTTCCGCTTACCAGACCATTCCATAGGCCCCCTCCCCGATGTAATGGAGATCGGTGTATCGGGGGCCAACGTCAAAATTCTGTCCCTTCACCGACTCCAGGCCGGGCTTGGATCCCGCCGCTCCATTAGCTCCCCCGGCCGCGACGGCTGCTCCAGCCCCGGCGGCGATGCTACTCGAGCCCGCGGTTCCGGCCGCCGCAGCGCTGCTGCCCGATTCCGCCATCGCTTCTGTCCGCAAATAAGTCGCCTTAGCGCAGTCTCTGGGGGAAGGGGGGCCTCCTATTTGCCTTCAGATCAAAGACGGGGTAATTGGATCGCAAAGGCTGCCGTTATACGGTGCGCTCTCCTGACAGTGGAAGAGGAGTCGGTCAAGGCCTCCCTGTGGATGCGAGCATCTAAACTGAGCGCGAGCACGCACTTCTCCTGTGCAACAGTCGGGGCGCTCGACTCGAGTGGGTGCGCTGCATGCCTCCTCCCACGGCTACGGTAGGCCCTCCGGCGTGATTTACAGTTTGTGGTTGGAAAAAAAAAAGCGAAAGGGAGAAGAGACTATGCTGAAGTGTGAGATAAACACACGAACTCGGCATATTTTCCATCATCTGAACATTTACCACTGGAACAAAAACAGGCATCATATATTCTCTCACAATTACATATATTTTACCTAAACGCACACACAGTCAAACCAAAATTTATTCAGACACCTTCAACATTTCTCACATTATCACAGTTTATTCGCTGTAGTTTAGAAAAAGGTAATAAAATATAAAAAGAACTGTGTCTTCTTCTTCCGTTTTTTGGCGTGTTACATCCTGTGTGCATATCGCCACCTACTTTTGCTGTTATGCAGTCATGGTTTATTTATTATCAATTTATTCCTTGTTTTTCTTTTCCTGTTCTTACACACGTATATACACAAATATTCAATTACCAAGCAATGCTTAATTTTGTTCAGTCTGTGGTGTAAATAGGTTGCATTAGCAATTACAGAAAAAAAAAACACTTAAGCAAAACATCAGGTCAAAGTGTCTGAATAATTTCTGGTCCCACATTTTTATAAATTTTACTGGTAGTCCACTGTATGAAGAATTTTTGGGTATGTCACAGTTTACTTTATTTTGCTATCCACACTTACATAAATGAACTATAGTGTTCTGCACCCACTAGTAAAAACATTACACAAGTATCAAACATTATATCTGGTATCTGAATATTTTTTGGTTTGAATAAGATAGGTAGATAGATAGATAGGTAAAATGAATGTAGTTATGTCAAATTGGGAAATTACTACAAAATATCATGATCTACCAACTTAATAATAACAACAACAACAATAATAATAATATGATGGTTCTTATTATTATTATTAGTTAAAGGTGAGGGATCGTGATATTTTATACTCATTTGATTTCAGACATAACGCATTTGAATCTTATTTATAATTTGATGCATTTAAACAAACAGATGTACACGGTCTCAAAAAGCATTAATTGTGCCCATTATATTGGGTCGACTACACTGTACGATTTCCCTTTTAAGAAATGTATAATCTACTAGAGATTTACATGTAGGCCTGCAGCAGAGCAGCCACAGCGAGTCGCATGAATTGCGTCACCGAAGAGGCTGGGCTGGTCTCTCATTTCCTGGTTACTGCAGCTCTGCTGGGTTTGGTTTATAGATTGTTTTGGAATGAAAGCAGTTTCCCGTAACTGGGTTGCATCGGTGCATGTAGCGCTTAGTCTTATTGGGCTTCCCTACGCGGCTGGCACAAGTGGAGTCTGGTATGTAAATGAATGTAATAATTAATATTAATTTGAATTCTGAAGCTGTAGTTGTGACACAAGCTTGACCGGTGTGTAATCTGCTCTCTTTTTTGACTTGTGAGTTTTAAAATAAAAAACCCGCTCCGGTATGGAAATTATTTTTAAAGGTACATTAGCAGCGTGAGGGTTAAATTAATCGTTTCGTTCAACCAATTTTCAGCAGGAAGAACGCCATTAGCCGCAGTCTCTTTTCATCAAAATCTGTCTACATGTCTCCTGCCGCACACTTTACGGCTCGCTGTCCGGTATATCCCGGCTCAGACACACGTCGCTTCCCTGTCCCAGATGACAAAGTAGACTGGGACACAGACTGGCCCCAGTACAGCCCTGTTAACTATACCGCCCCCACTGTACTGAAAAAGCCTGTTTGGGCTGACCCAGAGATCGGGTGAGTACAAAATAAATAAACAAATAATATAAAAAAAATTAAGAAATATATCATTTTATTTATGTTTAGTATATATAATTTTTTATTTCTACAATAAATTGCAGCCCTAAATATTAGACTGTACATTTTATGATTTTGTTTAAAAAAAAAGGTGTACCACAAGAGAATTATAGTGATAATCATTTTCCTGATAATGTTTTGAAACATACGTATAAAAGTCCATTTATGCTTTCTTTAGTGCATTTTCCCCACAGTTCAATTCTTTAGATGGCTCTGTGGACCGGATAAGCCATGAGGGCTCGTATCGTCTCCAGAATGGCAAACCACTGTGAGTCCAAATACTAGATCATCCAAAATATTTCAATAATTGTAATATTTACAATGCTTTCCTGCTTATTACTCACCGTAAATCATCCTCAGCAATCCACATGGAAGAACTGGGCTAGAGGGCCGAGGATTACTGGGAAGGTGGGGTCCAAACCACGCCGCTGATCCAATAGTTACCAGGTACTAAAATGTGTGTCGTAATAAATAGAAACCAACCTTTTACCTGTAATCTCTTTCCCATTTGACCGGTTTAACTGTTCCATGCATGCAAGGAATTTTGTGTGTAATGTGGCAGGGTTCACATGCTTCAAACATTCTTGAAAACTCATTCCGGTTTCCTGTGGCCTCATACAGGTGGAAAAGGGACTCTACAGGACAGCGTGTCCACCACACTAACTCTCAACTACCTGTGCTGCAATTTGTGTCCATCAAGAGGTTGGACTGTGGCGAATGGGCCATCCCAGGGGTGAGTTTGAACCTCGGGGCTTGTTTTACATTTTCCGAATGGTTATTTTGAGTGAGCAGCATCTGTGGGGGTGAGGTTTTTAAAAATTTATTCTGCTAATATGCTCACAGATGGTTATGATAATTGTTGTGTGTTCAGGGAATGGTGGACCCTGGAGAGCGCATTTCTCAAACACTGCAGCGCGAGTTCTCAGAAGAGGCATTGAACTCTCTGCAGGCATCTCCAAGTGAGAGGGAAAAGATCCAAAAGCGAATCACTGAACTTTTCAACTCAGCAGGTCTTCAGGTGAGACCATGCGATTACACTTCAATGATTTGGAATAATTATGATATTTAAATGGTTTTGAAAGAGGTCTCTTATGCTCACCAAGGCTGCATTTATTTGCTTAAAAATACAGAGAAACATGTGAGAGATTAGATTATACTATTTTAATATATTTTATAATGCAGTTTATTCCTGTGATTCAACAGCCTTGATTGAAAAGTGATACATTTTTCAGGATTCTTTTATGAATAGACACTTATCAACTTACTCGAAATATAAATTTTTTGTAACATCACAAATGTCTTTAAATGTTGTCATTACTGAATAAAAGTATTAGTTTTTTTTTTTACTTACCACAAAACTTCAAATGGTAGCGTATTGCAGTTTCCATAAAAATATGAAGACAGTCTTTTCAAGCTGTTTTCCAATTTTAAATTACATTATAAATGTAAAAAAAAAAAACAGTGTGGTCAAATTAGCAAACCTTCAGCAAAATTTTGCAGGCAAAAAAACCCTATAGCGATACATGAATCACCGTTTACACAGAAGTCAATTTTAAACCTGTTGGCCAACACAGTGAATTCGTGTGATCAAATTTAACACAGTGAAAAATTTTTGCACTCATGAAAACAGATCACGCAGATTCCTGTTGCAATTACTGGATTTCACTCACAGTATTTTACCAAACGGTAAATGTGACTGTACCTTGCATTGCATTGCAGCGCTATAACACAGCATTTTTTCCCCTATAGGTGTATAAAGGTTATGTAGATGATCCAAGAAACACAGATAATGCTTGGATGGAGACAGTTGCAGTCAATTTCCATGATGAATCAGGTAAAAACAGTGTATTGATGAAACATAGAATAATATTAGGGATATGTTATTGACTGAGTAAAGAACATTGTTCTATCCCACATATTTAATTCAATTCTTTCTATCTAGGCAATAGTGTGAGTGAGCTTCCATTGCAAGCAGGCGATGACGCAGGTCAAGTGAGCTGGATTGATGTTGACTCCTCTCTGGCCCTTTATGCGAATCACTTGCATTTCCTAGAGACCGTTGCGAAGGAAAGAAATGCACACTGGTAACAGAAAATAATAAAAAGTGCCTTTCTGCTTTAACATAATGATCCATTTTAGTTGGCCACTCTGTAAGATCAGAAACAGAAAAAGGGTACTTAATAGCAAATATCTTACCTAGTCTAATCAAAAGGAATAATCTGCTTAATGTTGGCAATCAAACACAATATTTTGGACATTAAAATGTTTGTTTTGTAAAATAGCAACAGGTCAGAACCAAAACAGCCTCCAATTTATGCGCACATCAACTAGATCCCATTATTAAACCTGTAACCATTGAACTCAAAATAGTACAGTAACTTTAAGTATAGCCAGTTTTCAATGCCTTTAACTGAGCACCTAAAAGTTGACAAGTCTTATCTTATGTGTATGATCTTGTCCATGATGCCATTGATTACTTACATCGTCACAGCCTTTGATGCAAGATCTCGTAAATTGTTTTAGCTTTGATTACAAACATTTTTATCAGTGCTAAATGATTACAAATACGGAACACCGGCTATATAAATACAAGCAGCTGCATATTAAAAACTAACTGCAAGTTTGTGGATATGCTCATTTTTGTAGATTTATAAATACAAATATATAAACCCACACATTAGATTCTTTTTGTTGGAAAAAATATCACCAGTTTGAAAATACAAAACTACCACATAATTAGGGAACAGTCAAAACAGGTTTAAATACATTTTACAAGATGTAAGAATAAGAAATACATTTGTAATGAGGAAGGAATGTGAAGGCTAATGAGAAACAGGCAGTAAATGCTGTAACTGGTCCATTCACAGAAGTACTGAATGTTGTGCAGATAAAAGTTGGCCAGCGCAAAAAAAAAAATTAAGTTCATACAGGTTGCTTCTGATGCTTCCAATTTTTCTCCCGGACTGAAAAAAGTCAAAGGAAGTAGTCAGCCACAGGTTTCTTAGAGGGGATTCCTCTGGTTTCCTGAGGTGCAGCTTCGAATATAATAAACTCCTTCTGGAGATGCTCATCAAGCTCCAAAATGGCTGCCACATTACCACACCTAGGAAATATTCCAAAAGAGTAAATTAAGTACAGCACATTCAGATCTAAATAGTCACTGTTACACACAAGAGTTACTGGACCGCTATGAGATAGAAAGAAAGAGAGAAAGAAACACACCTATAACAGTAGTTTGGAGCAGACCACACCGTTAACACCGTCTCATTGAAATGCCACTTGTAGCCCTCCATCACCAGCTGATGAGCTCTGCAGATCATGCTGATATCATTGGCAGCATTAAACTGTGCCACCACATCACTACCAAACAGATATCCAGCTCCTCTGGGACTCACACCCCACCCTGTGGTGTCTAGAGACAAGAAAAGAGACCAACCAATCTTAGGTATTAACAACATATTGAATGCCTTTCCTTTATGTCGTACATTACATTAGCCTCTCGCACCTTCTGGGTCAGACCACAGTAGGTCACACATGGGTCCATCATGAGGAACTTCCTGTTTTCGGTCAATAGTCCTGATCTGATCCAGAGTTTGAATAGATGGAGAAAGGCCACCATGCACACAAAATATCTGAGGAGCAAAAACAGCATGATACTTTGATTCAGCAAGGATGCATTAAATGTATCAAAAGCGACAATAAGAGTTTTACATTCATACAACATTGTATTTCAAATAAATTGTGTTCCTTTAAACTAACTAATATTCAAAGAAGAGGAAAACTGTATCAAAGTTTTCACAAAAAAATATTAAACAGCTGTCTTCATTGATTAATGTTTCTTGTGAACCAAATCAGAAGGATCATGTGACACTGAAGACTGGAGTAATGGCTGCTAAATAAGAAAGTATTTCTATAAATAAGAAAGAAAATAATTACATTATTAAATATATTAAAATAGAAAGTGGAAAGATACAGAATTATAAGAGGACCTACCTTGCCATCAACAATAGCAGAGAGGGACAGGTAGTCAAAGATCTCTGTGCAGTACCTCCAGACTGTAACAGAGCCGTATTTTCTAAGACACTCGTCATAAAAGCCATACACTTGCGTGATCTGCCTTGACTCGTGATTCCCTCTGATCAGCGTTATTCGGTCAGGGTATCGCACCTGAAGACATAAATATAAAGGACTGTGAATAAGGGCAGACTACAGAGTGCAGAACGGCTTTAACACAACACACATTACAAAGCAAACAAGATTAAGTTCAGGACAGATACTGTACCTTTAATGCTAGCAGCAACAGGAAAGTCTCCACACTATAAAACCCTCTGTCCACAAAGTCTCCCATGAAGAGGTAGTTTGTCTCTGGAACTTCACCCCCCACCTGAAGACCCAGAGGACAATGATAAGAGTCAAACAACACAGCACAAAGAACTGCTTTTTAGAAACTTCCACCAGTCCATACACGTTTGAAAGTAGAAGTATTGTCAGTCAAAGTCGAAGTCTGCTTTATTGTCAATTCTTCCACATGTACAGCGCATACATACAGAGAATTGAAATTGCGTTACTCTCAGACCCTTGGTGCATACAGATAACATTAACAGTAGAACATAAATTACAGATAAATACAGATTAAATATAAAATACAACTATAAAAATATACAAATAAGGACATGTAAAAAA